GGAGAAAAGCCTTATGACACCCTAGAGTAATTTCCTTGGATTTCCTGTTTTCAGGCTCCTTTTATGAACCCAAGATGACATTAGCTACAGTTTAAAAATTATAAACAAAAACAAACCTATGACTTCTTTGGAAGACACATGGGATTAGAGGGGTTTCATACATAATACAGTAATCCTCTTTGGGTAATATATCTTAGAGCCTTAACAGTAAGTTAATATTTGTTTCTTTGTTATGAGTAAGATGATGTACAGGTTGCTTCTTGGCAGTGTTAGTGCTGGCTGATCTATCAGCTAGGGTAGCTGATGCTCATGTCCTAGATCTATAAAAAAGCCCCAAAACAAAGTCAAGCAGGGGTACAGCCAGCCCCAGAACATGTGTGCTCCAGGAACTGTTCCACTTTCTAAAACTTGTATCCTTCCTCTTCTTGCAGTCATATTTTGTTGGCATTTTTTCTTTGGTTTTTCCAAACATTTATGTCCCTATTGTCTGAGGAGGAAGGAAGCTCCTGCTTTGTAATTCTGAGCCTGCAGTATGTTTCATGTGCCTCAGCCACATGACCATAGTTCCCATTTCTAAGAGACAAATAAAAAAAATACTGTTCCTTCTTTCTTGCAGCTCCAAAGTTCCCTCTCTTCTGATGCTGTGGTTTGGATTACTGTTCCAAGGAGCAATGATGTTGCTATCTCCTTTCAGTCCCACAGATGTAGTGCTCAGCTCTCTCCCTCCCTGTCAGCAGGGAACTCTTTCAGAGAGAAATACCAATATTTTTCTAGCTTGACTTCTAAAATGGTACCAAATTAGCTTCTCAGAGGAGTTGGGATGATGGATACTTTGCAGTGCTGTCCCTTGGGAGATTGAAACACTGGGCCGTGGTCTACCTCATCTGTGAGAGCAAAGCTTCAAATGAGCAATCAAAAGTGCAGATGCCCATTTAACAGAGAAAAATTCATTGTTCTGTGGCTGCTGAGGGTGAGAGACAGTCCTGTCACTTCTAACCTGAGGCAGGGAGTGGCTGAGTCACATCTCTGTCCTCTCTGGGCAAGGTGGCATCAGATCTGGGACTGCAGTGCAATTCTGGGGAGCTCAGTTGTGCTATGTCATTACTGAGTTATGCTCTGTTCATAAATGCTCTTTAGTTTTATAGTATAGGAAGAAAAGGGGACGCAAATTATTTAGTAGGCTTTTCAAATTCTTCTTGAGTCTGAGCAGGAGTGGCTTTCTGAAATGGTCCTGGAGCAGTTGCACTGTTTAATCTCAGCAGTATTTTTCCTTCAGTTTTACACCCTGAAATCATTAATTTAAGTGCAGGGGATCATAAAATCTATCCTCAGCTCAACATTCTGTATCTTATGTTAATTTCAGAACCTTTTATAGAATTTTATTTTTTTATGGATCTTTCCACCTTTGCTGAAGAACTGTAAGGAATTTATTCAAACAGCTTGTAGTTGCATATATGTATATATCAATGTATAGATGTATATACATGCATGTGTGTGCAATACTTTGGCATATTATTACCCCCATAACCTGGTTCAACAAGCAGCATTTATTACAATAACAAAAAGTGTCTGTATTCCCACAGGCATCTTTAGAGACAGAAAAGGTATGAGGCTCCTAAACCCAGCCAAATGGAACATGTTAGTTATTGATATATTGTCTGCTGTGTACAGCACTAAATATTTTTAAAATATTTATTTTAAAAAAAAAAGTTGTTCCAGAATTTTCCCAAGTCTTTTCTTTCACAGACTTCTTTTGCTGGCACTAGCACAGGTATTTCAGTGAAATTCATGGAGTGGAAAGGCTGTGCTGGGCTGCCCAGTGCTGTGGCTGTGCAGCACAAAGCCAGACAGAGCTGGCAGCAGCGTTTGTCCCCGGGGGCCAGTGACAGTGTCTGCTGTTAAATTGCTGGGCATGGGATCAGCCTCAGGCCTTCCACTCCACCTGTTCTGCCCACCTGCTTCTGGTGGGACCTGGAGCTGTTCAATGAGTGGGTGGCCTCCTCAACATCCCCTTGTGCCCATCCCAGCTGTGGCTACTAAAAGAGGTTGTAGAGCCTGCAGCACTTTGTCATGATCCTGGGTGTGTTTATGGAGGGAGATGAACAGAGTGTGCAGGGCAGCCTCAAATGCAGGATGAGGAGTAGTTTGGCCATTTTTGTGAGAGGGGAAAAAGAGCTTGCCCACAACTGTGCAAAGTCCCTGATTGAAACACAGAGTGAGAAAGACTAATTATTGGATTGGGTTGCCATAAGAGAAGTCTTCATTTCTGTCCTCAAAGGTGTTCATTTGGCACTGGTGAGGCCATGTGCATCTCAGACACAGCACTCCCTACTCCCATCCCCAGTTCAGGGCAGGTTCTTCCCCCTCAGAGCCCATTTTCATCTTTCTTCAATCTCCATGCTGTTGGGAAGGATGAAAGTTTGACAGGAAAGTCTCACAGATATGGATGCTTGGCAGAAAGATTTTTGAATGTAGAAGCTGAGGAAGGAATAGAAATGAAAGCAAGTTTTGATATAGAAGAAAATAATTGCTGAGCCAGTCTTACTGGATAACCAAGGAGGCAAAGGGTCTGTTAGTTAGAAGGGGGTTTTTATAACTTAGAGCAAAGGATAAACCCACCTCAAACAAGAAGATGTTTTTACCAAGCAGAAAGATAGCACAGGCAAACAAGTCAGCAGATGCTGCAAGTAGAAAAAGGGTCTCAGAATTTTCCACTGCAAGAAAACTAAAAAAAAACTTCTAGTTTAAACTGTAATGTACCAACTTTTACTGATTGGAGAATAGTAACATGCATATGGTAATTACAGTAGTTATGACAGACTATAGGTAAAAATTAAGGTATAGATTGGTTCCACTGGATTAAGATGCTGAGCAAAGAAAAGTCTATAATGCATTTGTAACCCAAACTAAAGGGTCTCCAGGCCTGCCTGCAGCTGAGAGCTGAGAGCTGTAGGCACAGGCTCTGTCACCCACCACCCTGGACTGCTGCAACGTCTTGGATACAAGAAAGTGCATTTGGAAGAGCTGCCTGGAGTCCTGCATCCCTAATTTTGGCTCTTACACCATGCAGGCTTACCTTGTCCTTGCAGACATGGGGCATTGCTCCATGAGGCAGAGCTCCTATGAGCTGACTCTGTGGGCTTGGGCCATTTTGGTAGAGCCATGAGGAAGCACAAAGGGACAGAGCAGTTGGACTTCCCATCACGGGGTCATTTTGCATTTATTTTCATTTTTGTTAGCAAGATTCCACAATAGGTGGTCCTACTTTACAGATGTGTGTGTGGGGATGGATCATTTGGGTCTGTTTGGTGTGATTTGTGTATCAGTACTCATTCAGTTCTCAGCTGTACTGGAAGGAGAAGGCCACTATGTCATCCCTTCATGGAGCCATCATGGAGCTCTTTCCTGTGCTCAAGCCCCTGCTTGGACTCCTGGTTGCAAGCACTTACTGTTTCTAGAGCTGGGAACATAGTATTGTATGCTGTTGTTTCCTTTTCTGAGTTCAAGGGAAGGGAAATCCTTGGTGTGCTGCTGTGGCTCCATCTGGGACAACGACAGACAAATCCTCTGCTGTGGGTGTGTTCAAAAGCTTTACTACTGGATCAGATAACTGCAGAATGACACTTTTTCTTTTTTTAGGCATTCCTTGTGCTAAGCACTGGGGGATACTGCAGGCATTGGGAAAGCATTATCTGAGGAAAACCAGCAATATTTTAAAGCAAAAACATGTGCCTGCTACTGTCAGATGGAGTTTCTCATATTTTAAAATATCACGTTAATGTAAACATGCAGATGAACTAGCAATTGCTTTTTTTTTTTCAATCTGCAGGCTTCTTGTGAGCTGTTAATTACCCAGAGCTGAATGGAAGATATTCGAATGGGCAGCTGTCAAATGATGGAACTAATTTTTTTGTAATCCTGCTCATTCTATATTGCTGTATAATATGAAAATGTCATACAGCAATTTGAAGCAGAAAAGAAAAATAGTGACCTGTCTGACTGTTGTGCTGGGTATCCCTTAAGATATGTCAGGAATGTCTAGGATGTTTTAATTTGCATTTATCTCAGATTTTATTTCTTCAGTGTGAACTTCTAATGACTTTGTAGTTTAACCTTGTAAGGACTTTGTCTCCTTTTTTCTGTCATCTAGTTTTCATGTACTTCTCTCCCACTCAGCTTGCCATGCAGCACTTGTGTAGTGATTACCTAATGCTGCAGTTTCCCTCCTACTTAGGTGGAGATCCCTACCATTTCTGCAATACTGCTATCCTTATTCCACACTGGGGCTAAAAGCCCTGAGGATGAGAGATGGTGAGCCTGACTCCAAAAGCCTGCTTTTTTGTCCTAAATCAGGCTCTACTGTAACTGGAAGTGCCTTTGTTTGGATATGCTTAATTGCAGCCTGCATTTTGCAGGGATATTTACAATTCTGACAGAATGACTAAAAGCCTGTAGCGTTAGTCAGCCTGATCTGTGAATCACTTATCACCAATATTCAGCCTACTTATTCCCCAGCAGCAGAAAAGGGAATCCCAAAGAAGGCTCAGTTTGACATGCACATCAGCCTCAGGTGGGCTCCTCTCAGTTTTCCCCATCTCTCTCCACAGTGTTGCATGCAGCAATGTTTCCTCTCCAGAGGCAGAAGAGGGCTGGATGCTGTTCCCTCTTGATGGCTGAAAATATTTGCCCTGAGGGCTGGGAACATCCTCCTGACCCTCTCCCTTCCTGCTTTGCACAAGCCTGTTCAGGGGTCAATCCCTGCCAAGAAAAGGGTAGTAAATTTCAGAATAGGACTAAAATTTACTGCCCCTTGTACTGTCAGAGTACCTGCAGGCCATGCAAGGCTGAGGAGCAAAGCAAGCTGAGAGTGGGAGGTGTACCTTGGTGGCAGCCAGTGAGCTAGAGGCTGCAGGGGTGGACTAGGACAAAAGAAAACATCCTGCTCTGTGGTTTGTTACTCACACTAACCAGTATCTCTCTTGTTCTCTTGTCTTCCCCAGGAACGAGTGGAATATCTCTTTCTCATAATTTTTACAGTGGAAGCATTTTTAAAAGTAATAGCATACGGACTTCTCTTTCACCCCAACGCTTACCTCCGCAATGGCTGGAATTTACTAGATTTTATAATTGTGGTAGTAGGGTGAGTACCAACAACTTGTTTCTCAAGGCACTGTCCACATGGGGATACTGGCAACCTTTGGGATCACGAGAGTGGGTCAATGCTTTGTTACATATGGCTGATGTTAGACATTGCTGTCCATCCTGTTCCTCTGGCAAACACCGTTTTAATGGTTTGCAAGACAGGGAAATTAAACTGCTCTTTGGGAGCCAGAGGTAAGAGAAGAAAGCAGTCCAAAACTGTTAGATAAAGTCAATTGCCTGGATGTGCTTAACTGCAAGAAAATGCATTTGGTTTTAAATCTGTATGAATTTTAAAAAATAATATCTAGGTAATCCCTTAATGAAGATTAGGAGTTTGATGACAGATAAGTCATCAAACAGCATAAATGCTGCCATATTGTGAACTTTTGCCAATGCTTCTCATTCTGGAAGATGGAAGAAAAATTGAAATCCCAGATTTTCCTACTTACAAACAAAAATAAGTTCCTCAGTTCAATTGCACTGCTCAGCTGGTGATTTCAACACCTTTAATTTTGACCCTTTTAATCTCTTAACCTTTTAAAGACTAGTTTTACTGTTGTAGATCAAATTGTAACTTTGAGCTGCTACCTTTCTAATTCACTTATTCCTCTCCATGTTTTTCAAGTTTGGCATTTAATTTGTTTGAATAAAAACAAAATAATATATGTGCTTTTTCTGCCTAAGAGTTAGAGATAAGCAAGAGATTGGAATTGTGGTTGTTGAAGGGAAGAGGTGAAGGATAAACTACCTCTGAATACAAAGGGAACAAGGATTTCTTTGCCTGAATAATTTGTCCCATCCTCCCACCACTCCATTGTTAGCGAATTTCATCGCCCACAAAAACTTGTAGTCTTTTCACCTCTTTACCAAGGAAACCCTGCATCAGCTCCTAGGGAAAATGTCAAAAGGGACACTCCTAGTCATCAAAACCCCCTCACCATTTCTGCCCCAAACCAATCCGCCTTCCTGACCATTTTTGTGCTGGCCCCAAAATATTTAATCAGCAAAGTGCTGTGTGCTTCCCAATGCCTCCCACTTCCCATCAGCATGGATAAGAGTGGGTAGAAGGAGAATTCCCAGTGAGGGGGAGGGAGAACAGGCTGAAGCCTATTCTTAGTCTCAAGACCTCTCTGCCTCCACGTGGGCATAAAGCTTGTCCTTACAGCAACGCCCATTGTGCTTCTTCTTTTTTCCTACCCACAGACAGAGGATCCCTTAGCACGTCAGTACCTGAAAACTGGAAAATCCCCACCCCCTCCCCTGGTAATGATGTCCAATTCCATCATTGGTTGTGCCTTTGAATGCTCTCAGATATCTCACCTGTTTGGAAATTGCTGCCTAAGTTGAAGAAAGATTGAAGAACAAAACTCCTGTGAATGTGATTATTCCCTTTTCATTTTTATGAGAGAGGCATTTTAAAGAGAGGACACATTACCTCCTCTTTTTCCATTGGATGTGAGACAGCAGAACTCCAGAAATCACTGAGCAGCATTATATCTAGTTTAAGTACAGTCCTTTTCAATTTTCCTACGAGGGCAGTTAATCAGCAAGATGATATTCAGGCTGAAATTAATTCCCTTGCCAATGACAGAAGCTGCAGCTCTCAGCTTCTCTATCTGCTTTTGCCTCCAGCAGCTCTTAGTCACTAGATGGGGAACAAAAACTGTAGCTGGGGAAGGATTACATGCGTATAATAAACATGGCCAAGACCCCAAGGTCTCTGTTAAATAGCAACAATCTCAAGTGACAGATTCCACTTCAAGGCCAGATGGGTTCCTTTGATGTTTATCTGTTTAAACTCACTGGTACAGTACCACAGCCTAGGCTGGTGTGCTGCTTTTCCTCTCCACAGCCCCTCTGCAAAATCTACTTGGTGATACTATCTGTTCCTCTCCTGCCCTGTCTTCTTTTCCTAGGGGCTGCCTGAAATCCCTCAGTGACATTATGTTTAAACTTCAGTGTATTTGAATATTTTGCCAGGAAGGAAGCCCCACGGAAAAGGTTTTAAATAAATTTGGAAGAGAGAGAGGAAGGAGAAAGAAGAAAGCAAGTGCTGATAACAACATTTCCTTGTGGTTCCTTTTTCTACCTATTGATGGAGCTATGGGAGAAAGCTGAGTAATTTGAACACTGGGACAGAGGGCAGAGAGATTTATTTGGTGTGTGGGGCAAAGGATGGCGTGACTATGGTAATTGCCATTTGTGTTTGCTCTGCCTTACTAATTCTCTTCATTTTCAAAGATGACTGCCCTTGCTACAAAACATAAGCTAGGTGAGAAGCACTTCTTCAAGTACTGTTGCAAGTTAAAGGGGAAAAAAAAAAAAAGAGAGTGAGACAAATTTTAGATCTTTCAAATCCACCCATACTCAGTTCACCACATATAACTTCAACAGTTAATAATAGCACATCTGGCTTCCTTTACCTTAAAATGAACTAGTCAGTAGAGTAGGAGGAAAATGGACATGTGTAGGAGCAGGTATAAATTTGAGAGGGGAGTCACAGTTCCTGTAAAATTGTTTATAACAATGTGCCTGTATACTTTCCCCTGCCTTCTGAAGATAGGTCCCCTGGTATCCAAGGGGATTTTAGAGTGAGTGATTCTGACAAGGCCATAGGAATATGCAACAGCAGCAGAGGGAAGCACTGTACACAACTGCTCTGTTTTCTGGGGAAAAGATACATTTTAGACTGTAGGCTTGTAGCAGCTTATCATTCTTGAAGTGTGGGAGACCTGTTTATTCATCAGCTATGTCTTGCAGAGTTTGAATCTGGCTTCTCTTTAAATAGCCTCTGACCTTGCTATAGCAGCACTTGAAACGCTGCTTTGAAGAATGTCTGTGTGAGGGTATCAATCAGAGACTCTACCAACATTATTAATTAATAGCAGAAATCTGACCCTTAAGCTACTCAATGAGGCACAGCCCACAAGCACTAATGGTTAGACAAATTGTCTCACACTTCCTTCATTTTTGCTGCTCCTCTTTAGGAAAACACTAAAACTTTCAGATACCACAGTGATGCCCCTTAATATTATGAAATTTCTCTTGAGAGAAGACCAGCTTGACAATATTGTGATGGAAGAATATCTGTCTTTCCTGGCAGTGCTGTGGTTTGTCTGCCAAGCACAGTCATTCTCCAAGGACCTGTAACTACTGCCAGAGAAAAAGGTGTTGTCATTTGAAAGGCAGTATTATAGTCTTACTTGGGAAGGTAAGCAGTGAAGATATTTGGCCAAGATCTGAAGTCAGAGCAGACTGGAAAATGTGGTCCCAGTTCCTGTCTTACTGAAGACCTGTGGGGAGTTTCTAGAGGGAAGATCCAAATATTTTCACACTCACAAATCACAGGTGAACTGTAAAACACTGTGAAAAAAAAAAAAACTTTTATGTTTTACTTTGTTTTATACCTAAGAGGATATTTTTCAGCTATGTTTTTATGCTGATTTTTGGCCTTAGAAATATCAAGGCCTCTGCTTTCTTTCTATATTTTGGAGGCCCTTGACAAGTTCGTTTTTTTATGCTATAAAAATCACAGTGTACTCCCCACAGAGGAAGAGATGAAGAGCAGGTTACAGCCTTATCATGCTGCTGTTGGGGTCATCTAGCAAAATGAAAACCCTTTTGATATATCAAATGTCAAAAGGGAAATAGAAAAACACAAGGAAAATAACCCAATGAAGCTAGCTTCTTACTTCACAGGTAAATGTAAAAAACCCCAAACAAAGCATGGAGCATATCCATACATGCACGTGATAAAAATTTGGTTTTCTGCTCTTATAGTTCATGTCTGTCAGATGAATTTAGTTAAGGTGTAGTCATGTCACAAATGAAATCCAGAAATAAAGGTGATGTTAATTGTGCTTCATCAGTGGAAAGTATGATATCCAAGTGAAAATGGGGCATGAATTTGCACTGGCAGAAAGTAGTTAGGTGGAAGTCAATAAGGCTGATGTCTGGTTTTTGGAGGAGGGGAAGTTTAACGGTGAGATTTTCAGTGGCCACAAGAGATTAGCCCTCTTGCCTTTTCTGTACCACCTAAACTCTTATTTCTCTGTCACCCTACACTTGGAGAATGCTAACTCACCTACTATATAGTAGTAGTATAGAGGTGAGTATAACTCACCTCTATAAAGAGCTGCACCTCACTCTGCCATGCCTACTGAAAACTTTCCCAAAATGTTTTCTTCAAAGAGCAGAATTTCCTATATAAGATAGAGGGGCTCTGGCCTCATCTTTTGCATCAGTAGTCCAACATCCATCTGGCTGTTTTAGTCTCAGAAAAGCATTAGCTGCAAAAACCAAGAGCATTAGGTAGCTGGACATCAGGGATGTCTGCCCATGCCCTGATTGAGGGAGGTGTTGAGGAGAAAGAAGAAAAATTGACAAGATATACTATAAACTTGAAGAGTGGAGTAGAGTTTCAGTAGGCCACACTGGGCACAGGCTAGACCCCAATACAGAAGGCAAAGAGAGTGAAATAAATGAGAGAACTATGAAGTTATAATGCATTAGAAAAAAAGCAGGATTAGTACAGGGGAGATATAAAGCATGGAGTAAATACATTAAAGCAGAATTAGCAGGAGTAATGCAATTCAAGTTTAAATGTAGTTTTTTTTAATGAGGAGCAGCAGGAATTACTGCAAATTATTCCTGAAGTGCAAAAGCAGATAACTGTGGGTACTTCAAAAGAGCACATTTAGCATTCCAGTGCTGGAGCACAAAAATAAGGCCAGCTGGCCTGCAGTGGAGCTGCACTAGCCTGGAAAGGCAGGCTCTATCTCTAGAGGAGTGAGCTGTCCTACTGGTTGTGTTTCTGCTCCTCCTGAACTAATTTAGGACATTGCTTGGGCAGCAGAATTCTGGAGCAGTCTGGTTTGCTCACTGTACAAGTGGCAGCAGAAACAGCCTTGGTGCCCAGTGCCAAGAGCTGCTATTTGGGAAAACATGGGGCCAGTAAAAATGGGGATCAGGAAAATGGCCCCCCAGTTTTGCACAATTGCTGACTCAAAGTTCCTTGAGAGTCCTAGTCTTGGAGCTGAAAACCAGTGTTAGAAGCTTTTTTGCAGTGAATTCTCTTTCCTTTAGAGGACCCCAGGAGACTGGGTCTGTTGTATAGGTATGTCACTCATCACCTATTATGGGAATTCTGTGGACTAGAAAGATAGGAGTGTTTGAATGTGAAACAGAGCCCATTGCTAGAGTTTAATCAGTCACTTAGTGAAAATACATTAGGCCAAATTTTACCTACAGTGTTTCTATTATGAAGACCAGCAGATAATTGCAACTGTATAATTTGTGTACATAGCTTAAGAAATACATACATTCCAATAATTCACATTCTTTGCATCAACCCTTGTTTGTCTCTCTCTGTGATATCTGTAGTCAATGCAGTATTTCTCATAGGCTCTGCTTTTTTCTTCTCTGTATCCTGCTTCTGCAACACCTACAAACTCAGCATCCAACCTCCACACACACAGTTTTTCCCATGCTTGTTACCTAGTTGTTAAATCTTTCTGCAATGCTTGAAGTTGAGGCTTTGAATAGATCCAGTTAGGAGTTCCTCAGTCACAGCTGACAAGTTTTATAAGACTCTCTATAGGAATAAAAAAAAAATCCACCCCCAAACCTGCTTAAGAAAGGAATTTTGCATTTGCAGTTCCCTAATCCAGGTTTTTGTGTGGATTTAGTGCTGGGGGAATCTGTTGATTTAGATGTTTCGGTAGATGAATCTTCATTTTAATATCCAGGGCAAGGTCCCTGTGTTTGTGACTCCATCACTGCAGGCTGCAGGCATTGGAGCTGCTTGTTAAGCCATCAGCCAACTCGGTGTCTGCTTGACCCATGGTCTGGGGGCTCTCTGTGGAATGTGCCAGTCAGGATATGGATGAGATCCTGACAGGGGCACCTCAGACTGCACAGTCTGTGAGAGAAACCACTGCTGTATCCAGGCTCTCCATCTGGACTGGTCCTCTCATCCCAGGAGGTTTCTTTCAAGTTGTCTGTGGTACCTCCATGGCACCTGACAGACCAAGGGGTCTCTGCCACTCCCAGGCAAGCCCTATTTACAGAGCTCAAACACCCATTTAGGCTGGAACAGCTTTTAACCTCTGCTGAATTTGGCTGGGTTCAAACTGAGAATTTCAAGGCTGAAAGCAATATCATTAGCAAATTCACAAGGAATCTGTTCTCCCCCAAATGCACTAATGTTTTACCAGAAAAATGGAAGCTGCTTCCTGAAAGCTAATTTATTAAATCAAGTTCTTATTAACAGATAGGGTGAGCCTTCAGGTTTTTTACAGGAGAACATTGCCTTTTCTTTCTTGCTCTGCCTTTTTAAAGGCATTCTGAGTGAGACATCTTCTCCTTAAAGCATCTACTCCTATTAGCCAAGATAAAACATTAAGGCTGGTATAATAAAACATTCTGATAATAAGACTCCTACAATTTTGCACTCTCCTTAGCCAGTGCATCAGGGGATTTACAAATGGATCCACAAGCACACAGTGTGAGCATACACTCTAAATAAAAACTTGCCCCTTGAAGGGTCCTCGAGTTTACGCCAAGTTCTACCTGCAGTGCCATTGGTGAATCTTAATTCTTTGTAAAAAAGGTGGCAGATAATTAATGATTGGCTTAATTAAGGGTGATGATTCTCTCCCCCGAGGTGGATTGTTGGTTAATAAAGACAGCAAAATGTTGGTAGCCCATAGCTGGCTGCAGGGAGCCACGGAGGAGAAAGAAGGAGGAGCTTTTTGTCGTGTTTATGTCTGCTGCAGAAACAAGTGTTTTGCAAATGGTGTAGACATCCCCAATAGGCTGCTGCATATGGGAAGAGTCTGTCTCTCCTCCACCATATGGGAACGTCGAGAGAGAGGTGTGACACCCTTCACAGGTCTGTGAGATACTTTGGGTGGTATGATGGTGATGATCTCTGTTCCTGCTTAGCCCAAGCCTTGCTGCCTGCCTACAGATCGTTTCCTCTTTCTTTTTGCAGGCTTTTTAGTGCAATTTTAGAACAAGCAACCAAAGCAGATGGGGGGAATTCAATAGGAGGAAAAGGTGCCGGATTCGATGTTAAAGCACTGCGGGCTTTCCGAGTATTACGTCCACTACGGCTGGTATCTGGAGTTCCTAGTAAGTAATACCACTGTTTTCTTTCCAGCTGTGTCTGTGGTGTGACATGCAGCAGGGGTGATTTTTCTAACAATTTTGAAGACAGAGCATGATACAGGTTATTTTTGGTGTGTGGGGGAAGACTTTTTTCAAGTGTATGTATTTGTGAAAAGCGTGACATTAATCAAAGGATGACCAAAGCAGAGCTGAAAAGGAGTGGAAGTCTCACGGTACGTCAGTCTGATTGTGCAACCTTTTTAAATAATGAAAGGAGAAGATCCAGAGGGTTTGTGATCTCAAGCATGAAATCCTTTAAATGGTGAAGTTAATATTATCAATTCTTGACTTTGATGGAAATTCAATGTATGGTCATGTGTGTTGATTTTAGAGGGAAAGGAACTTTTTCATTAAAATTGCATTTTCTTCTTTGTATGTGGTATTCAGATCAAGAGAATTGGGAACAGTTTAGAAGTAACAGAATACAGGAAAATTACATACTCACCTTCTCTGTTAGTCTGATTTGCTTAAATTATTTGTAATGCCTCTGAGAAAGTCCTCAAGCAGCCTTTGATAGTCTTTCATCCCTTTTCTTGTTTGCAATGAAGCTATGAATAACTAAGTCTGCTAGTTCCATTGTGGAGGTGGAATATGGACATGACAATGTGGGAAAATTATATCATTTGGCTTGAGAGTTTGTTATGGATGGGACCTGTTTACCTTGTGGAGAGAGAGGTGGTTGCAAACTGTCATTAGTTTCCATGATTATAGCAAAGAGAGATGTAGTGAGCAGAAAATGAGTTAATCTTCTCCAGAATAGCTGTAGGGAGCACTTTGTTTATTTTTATTTGAGGATCTTGCTAGACTGGTATCTTAAAGTACTTCTAACCTTAGTCATGCAAAAATCTTGAGGTGAGTTGCCATAAAGTCTGTGGTATCAGTTGTTCTGATGCAGACTGAACTTGGCTGTGTGCTTGGTATTCTTTGGAGGACTTGAGGAAGCTGAGGGAACCAAGCCTGACACAGTTCATATCCGATCTCAATCCCAACACAGACTAACAGTCCATTTGTGAGTTTTCTCATCAAAGAGTATCTAATTTGTACCTGAACAGAGCCAGGGAGCCTGGTGCAGACTAACAAACACTTGGTAAACAAAATGCTAATGCAGTGTGAAGCAAGCAAACCGTCAACTTCACCTGACAAGATAGCCTCTGTTAATCTTTCTGGTTCTGACTAGGGACATATTTGTTAAACCAGGCTTCTTGGGGGCCAGTGTGGCTTTAAAGAGTCTATTGAGATCTGTACCTAATGCAGCCTCAATCTTGACTGGGCATTTTTTAATTGTACAAATGCCTGTTGATTAGCCTAGAATAGATGTTATCGCATCCATATGTATTAGAGCATAACTTTTCTCATGAGGCTTTTTAGATAAGATTGCCTAAGCTAACCATAAATAGCACACTACAGGATTACATTCTTACATAAGTTTAGTGCAGAGGTTTAGAAGTCAAGTCTCAGGTCCCATTCAAGTTCTGTCCCTGAGGCATCATAAACACCAGTGGGTGAGTTACCAACATTGCACTTGCAGTGTTTTGTCATTTGTAAAGAAATGCTTTTTTGCTTCCTTGCCCTTCCAAAATGCAGAAGGTTTTTCCCCCATAAGGAAAAAAACCAGCACAGATTTGTCCTAAAATTACATGAATGTAACATACGCTGCAATTCCTTCTCACTTAACAGACTCTGTATGGAAGCAGCAGCTCTTTAGTAAGAGGGGATCCTCTGGGTCACTGGCAGCCACCTTCTGCATGGAAATTCCAACATCTGCTGCTTGGCTTGAGGTCCAGATATAACTACCACTGTTTGGAAAAAAGTGTGTAAAGCACAATGATTCCTATAAAACAAATTTTTGAAACACATGGTGAATTTTTGCATGCAAATCTTAAACTCATTAGAATTGTTCTTGGGAAATAGCTTGTCTGAGGTGGAGAGATTGGCTTGCAGCATGGAATAATTTCTTCTGAGTCACAAGGAGTTTATGGGGATATTTTGTCTCTGGCTCAATCCATAGGAAATAATCCAATTTAAGAGGGACTTGTTTTGTATTCAGGTTCATGCATTTAAAGACCTGTCTCAGCATATAGAGAGTTTCCACATAAGGTTGATTTGAGGTGGAGGAAAGACATATTAATTGCCATCTGAAGTAAATCACTGGTGTCTGCATTTTGCAGATTGAGAGCTGGAAACAAAAGTTCAAGAGTTAACACTTCCAGAAGTGGCTTCTAATTATTTATGTCTCCTATTGGCTACCAGTGCAAGACATTGGTCCAGATATAACTACCACTGTTAGGTCAACACAACAATCCAACAGCTTCAGATGGATGGATAGAGGATATTAAGAGCTCTCAGTCCCTTTTTCCCAAGTTCCATGCATGCTTAATTCCTGCACTTGGCTGTCTCTTGCCAGTGAATATCTCAACCAAGAAATGGGGACTCTCTGTGCAGTAAGTGGTTCATGTGCAAGCAAAGCTGGCTCACCCATGGGCAGACAAGCAAAAAGGTACCTTTGACAGTCTTTGTTAGGATCAAACTGTCCAAGGCCCCAAATTACGTTAGTGCCTCCTAAAATCAAAAGGGTTTGAGATCATGAGTTCAACAAAGCCTGAAGACCACATCTGGATGGTGGTTGTGGGCACATCAAAATTTCATAATCTTTAAGAGAACAGATGACACTTTTATGCTTTGTGGTTGTGTGGACATTCACAAGACCACTTGTCATAAGGAAGAAAACAGACATTTTGTTCAAAAGATAAGACAGACTTTTTTTATCCATGTCACAAAAAGCAACTGTACCATCACAGGAGAAGCCTTCAAAGGCACTGAATTCAAAGTCTTTGGGTTCCCAGTACAACTTAAAAATGTCGTGTTAAGTATTTACACATTTCCAAGAAACTCCATAGGGATCAATTTGGTTTGAGGGAGTTTTGTGTGTTAGATTATTTTTTTAAATAGTTTGAGTTCTTTTCCAGAAAACTTTTTTTGAGTGAGAGGTGCAGTTCTTATGTGTGAGGTGTATGGCAGAGCAGTAGATTAGATACTTCCCACAGCTGTCATTCCAGTGCTGGCCATTGCTTTCTGTACAAAAGAGAGCTAATTAAGTATACTCTTTTTTTATTCCCCCACAACTTTTTCTTAAGTCCTACTGCTTCTGGAAAAATGGTCCACACTGAGTCCTTCTAGCCTGGCATTAATGTGTAGATGAATGGTGATTATTTTGCAAAGCACACTGATTATTTAGGTTTCATCATAATAAAGTCACTTTTGAAAATGAGATCTAAGAATTTAATATCATTGACACACAGGCCAGATTTCACTGCTCACCTATTCTGTTACTGTCATATTAACACAATTCTTGCTGTGCACACTTTACTTTGGTTGCTGAAAGAACTTTACTGCTGGAGTGCCAAAGCAGTCTCCTTGTAAGGAAAACTTCACATGTGTTTTAGAGCACCTGTCTTAATGTGTGGCATTAAGATCAATATAGTGATTTGAGAAAGGAGAGAGAAGGAAAACAATTCCCTTGATGGACATAAGTAGACAAGTGCAAAATCAGCATGTCTACCTAAACTTAATCACTTTAGTGTCTTGGAAACTCACCCAGTAACTCCTTTGGCAAGAGTGTAAAGTATTGTAAAGCTTTCTAGAGACAGAATCAAGTCAGCCCTTTTGTGCCATGAGTTTTCTGTTGATTACTCTTCTCTCTTGGTTTTATGTTATTACATATTTTAAAACCTGTTTTAAACATTTTGTGGTTCAGGAGGGCAAAAAGAAACATCCAATTGGGCAATGAAGAAGCATGATCCAATTAAAGAAGAAAATCACTCCTGACTATTGGAAAGGGCAATGAGTTACTCCTACGCATGCTAGCTCATGCTCTTTTAATTTATAAAATTCCATTTCTATCACCTTTATTCATGCTGCTCAATTATACCACCTCATACATTCTGTTCATTCTCTTTATGTTGTACTTTGTCTTAATGTAAGTGCATTTTTGCCACTGGTTATTGTCTACCTGATATTTGCCAGATTTAATTGATAAGCTCTCCTAGACAATTTGGAAGTCATATGATTTGAGTAGCTGCTGTGCTCCATATTTGTGTTTTGAACAAGATTCTCTGCTGACAACACAGATTTATGTGGGCAGAAGACCTTGCTGCTCTTAATGAAGCTAGAGAGGAAACCTGACTGTTCCACTGGAACAAAACCTTGCCACGATGTCTCTCTTAATTTTTTTTTATTTTAGAACCACAGAAAGCTAAGCCTGTGATGTGTTCAAGCTTCACTGGAGCCTTGTAGCAGGAGAGTTACTCAAAGGCAGTGTAAGTGCCTCTCTAGCACCACTACTTACATGGTCTGCTGGAGATGCAGCAATTGTATAACAGGGAAAGAGAAGGATGAGCAAAAGGGCCTGAGCCAAACCCTCCCCATGGCAATGCAATGTCCTTCTGTTAGTGACACAGCAGCATGTAACTGGCAGAGTACATTTTTGAGTTAAATAAGACCAGAATTTTCATGTGTGGAATGCCTAGAGATGACTACTTTTTTGTGTATTTCAATAATTAACTAGAACACATACTTTTTCAAAATGATGCTGATGTTTAAGTCCATGATTATTACTCTGAGTTTATGAGAAAATTGGGCACCTTCAGACAAGGTGGATGAAATATTTAGACATTTTTAGATTTTGGTCTCTCTCATTGCAATTAGTAATCTGCCCTGAAATGCTCTATTAAAATGTATAATGCTTTCTCAGTCTCAGCAGTGTTCTCTACCCCATATTTATTGCAGTGTTTTCTCATTGCCACAATCATCTTCTATCCTCATCCCAAACTCTCTGGCATTAATCAAAATATTTTTTGAGCTTTGTAACAGGTAGGAAAATATTCTGCCTTTCCTTGCAATGTCCTGATAGATGTGAGCCATTCAAGTCTATATTTGGTGCCACATTCACCACATACATCAATGAA